CAACTGTAGTTGGGATAGAGTGCAGGTAGATAAATTAATTATATGCTTGTGGATATCTTGAGGAAATTCCAAAATATGATTCGTGTCTTTCAAAGATTTTGTTAATTTTTGTTCCGTGGAACTTATGGTCTTTTTTACCATATCATTGCAAAATACAGTGAATTTAATTCGACATACTAAAGATAAATTATCCATAACGGGAATTAGTCTTTGGTGTGTTTCAATAAATTTCGAAAGTTTGTCAGTAATTTCATCAATTTCTAATTCAGCAAGATGCTGAAGGTTGGAGAGTGAAGATTTTGACTTATTTCGACGTAGTGATTTGTAAAATGATATAGGATAATGTCTATTTTGGATGCAGTTGCGATAAAACCTTAATCGTTCACGCTTAATTACAATATTGCAACTCAGATTTAGAAGACCTTCAGCATCCTGCTGAATTAGAAATTGATGAAATTACTGACAAACTTTCGAAGTTTATTGAAGCACACCAAAGACTAATTCCCGTTATGGATAATTTATCTTTAGTATGTCGAATTAAATTCACTGTATTTTGCAATGATATGGTAAAAAAGACCATAAGTTCCATCGAACAAAAATTAACAAAATCTTTGAAAGACACGAATCATATTTTGGAATTTCCTCAAGATATCCATAAGCATGTAATTAATTTATCTACCTGCACTCTATCCCAACTAAAGTTGGAAGCATTATCTTATGGATTGAAGTACAAAACTATTCCTATGAAAATAAACAAAATGGAAGTCCAGTCACAGTATGAAAACCTTTATGATCAAATCTCTGATTTAACTCCTTCTAGTAAAGATAATCTGGACTGGTTTAAAGTTAAACTGGTGGACATTTCTCACCAATTTCTAAATGCTAGAATACACCAGAAAAATGGTTTATCAAAAGAACACCACGCCGCACTCAAGGAATTAATCGAAAAAGATAATCTTATTATCCTTAAACCTGATAAGGGAGAAGGCGTTGTCATTATAGACAAATCGGATTATCAAAATAAAATGAATGATATCCTCAAAGATCAGTCCAAATTTCTGGTGGACAATGCTACTGATAATGTGCTGCTTGTGGAAAAGCAGATCAATCGTCAGCTTCAGATTTTACTGATGCATGGTTTTATAAATGAAAAACTTTATAAACAACTTAAAGCAATTGGGTCACATACTCCCCGGTTTTATGGCCTTCCGAAGATCCACAAAACTGAGAACTCACTGAGACCCATCTCAAACATGTCGAGTTCTCCATACCATAAAATCGCAAAATGGATTACAGAGGTCCTTATGCCTGTAAGAGACTGATTATCAAATCATTCTGCGAAAAGTTCATTTGATCTGACAGATATGCTAGACACCTTGAACATTAAGGAAAAGGTTGTGTTCAATTGACATAGAATCTTTATTCACCAATGTTCCCCTTAATGAAACTGTTGATTTCATTTGCGATTACATCACACACAATGAGATAAACTTACCTATTCCTGTAACTTACATCGAATACATCATCTTAATGTGTACAGAAAATATTAGATTCACCTTCCAAGAAAAGGCATACAAATAAATCGATGGTGTTGCGATGGGTAGCCCTCTTGGGCCCCTATTAGCAGATATTTCCATGTCGAAATTGGAGAGACAAATGCAAGGTATGCTTGGAGAATTTATGCTGTATAAACGTTATGTAGATGATACTCTCATTATTGGTAATAATAGTAAATCTATTGAAAACTTTGTTACCCTATTTAATCATATTCATCCAAATATCCGAGTAACTTGCGAACTAGAATCGAATAACAAACTCGGTTTCCTGGATATTACTATGATTAGGAGAGATGATGGAACGATTCAACGATCTATTTTTCGTAGACAGACATGGAGTGGACAATATTTTCATTTCACCAGTTTTGTTCCTATCCAGTATAAACGTCCCCTAGTGAAGTGTTTGTTCTCAAGGGTCCGAAAAATATGCACGAGTGACACATTGATGGATGAGTTTCGACATATACATTCAGTTTTATTAGCTAATGGTTATCCGGAGAACTTTATCACTTGTCACAGTAAAGAAAAACCACATCTCGAAAAGACAGCTTCTGTACCAAAGAAAGCTATCTTTATTAACCTACCATTCAAGGGCGACCAGATTATGCAGTTGACAGCTCAAAGACTTCGGTCAGCCATCAAACGCACATTCTACGCCGCATCTCTTTTTCTCATTTGCCGAACATTTTCGATCCCTGTACCTACGATTAAAGGACGAAATTCTATGGACTCTACTTCAAACTGTATCTACAAGTTCACCTGCAGCTGCGGTGACACCTATATAGGTAGAACCAACAGAATGTTCCAATGTCGTCGAAAAGAACATGTTCCAAAATGGCTACTAAATCATATAGAAAATCCCAACGCGATTAATCTGAATAGAAATCCAGCATCATCCATTGCAAAACACTTATTAATGTCAGGTCACAAAATCAATATTAATGACTGTTTCACAATTATTTCACATAACTCTAATTCAAGGTTATTGAAGGTGATGGAAGCACTTTGGATTAATCACATACAGCCTAAACTGTGTGTACAAAAAACAATAGACTTCAATCTTCGCCTACCATGGACAACATGACCTATCTAAATATGATTGGTCATTAGTATGTACTTTTGTTTTTTTATTTAACTGAGTAATTGTCATGAACTTTATTTTATTATTGTTAACCATGTTAGTTGTAAAGCGGTTGTAAAGAAACTAGGAAATGATATCATCTCGCGAAATTTGTCTTCTTAATGCCTTATTCAAATTTATCAAAGGGACTAATTGTTTTAAACGATCAGTTATGTTATAAATTACGATCATGAAGTATTATAAATTAATACTTTTTCATTGGTATAAAGGTATATTCCACAACTGTAATCCATGTTGCGTCATGGGGGGAGGTAATGCGTAATTCACGAGGCAACTGAAAGATATGGGACCAATAATGTTTGCAGATCATTTGTTATTGTAAATGGTCAAATATCCACATTCTTCATTCTCATTCAAAAAGTCATATGGAAGCTAAAATGGTGAGAGAAAAAAGAAGACAAACAACAGCAACACAAAAGAACGCAAGTGGAGTCCTCAAGGAGTGATTAACAAATATATACATACATATTCTGTGTAGTAATTATGGTTATTTTGGTACACTAACTAACTAGTCCCGTTATGCTAACTTTTATATTATGTGTGAACTAATATTATTGTCCTGTGTAGAAATGTTTATCATGTACTTCCAACAATACTAAAATTTATAATTGTA